AAAGAAAGTCTTTTAATTAAAGTCGTGAAAAGTTTGGAAAAATGCTGTTTTTGAGGAAGCAACACGTAAAGAAGAAATTACTTTTGTCAAGAAAGCTTCCGACCTCACTGCCGTTTCATTATGCTTAGGAGAAAGCAAAGAATCCTTAAAAAAGAATGTTTTAGTCACTCATAACTGCACTTAATTAAGATCAAATATCTAATTACTCGCCTTCTTTAAAAGTTCTTTACGTAAGCTCGGAGATCTTCCAGACTTCTTTTTCAACTGGCCATATGAATCTTTACTAGATCTATTTGTCTGACTGGAACTGGATGGGCTATTACGCATTTCTCTAACTGAATTTCTAGGCGAAGACTTATTTTCAGGAAAATAAGAGGGCTCAACCTTCAAACACGGTGACCTCGAATATCTAGATGATGGCCGAGGCGGGGGAGATAACTGTGGCCTTGGTATAAGCTCTACAGCGTGACCCTATAAAAATAACAATTCGAGAAAATGAAAGGAGAAAAGATAAAAGCACTAAAACTTCAACTATAAAACGCTTCAAAAGATCTGTTAACTCACCATTGAATAAAGTTTACTTAGAAGTCGTTCCCTTTCAGAAGCTTCGATTAACGAAAGATTCAGTTCACACTTAAGTGACCGTTTAGTACCATTTCGAACCAACGGTGGCAATCGGGAAGGCTTTCTTACTGGAGAGAGCAAAGGAGACACGTGACCAAGCTCTTCCAACACATTTTCCATTTCACTGCAACTGCATCACTAGTTCATTCAACTGTAGTTGGTTACTAGCGAATTAACTCGATTAAAACGCACCGTTAGCCTTCCTAAAGCTCGACCAAAACAAGAACACAGTATTACACGATAAAAACTAAAAAACTTACAGGTGTTGCATTTGGCGTTCTCGATCACTGTCCATAGATTCATCAACAAAACCAGAATCTGGACTCTCGCCCTCTTCCTTTTTCCATTCTCCAGTTTTCCTATCCTTCGCATCTTCAACCACTCTGCCCCTCACTGATTTATCCGAAACCTTCTCTCCTCTTTGGCTAAACTTTTGGTCTTCTCCAAATAAATCGTTCATGGTAATACGACCTTCATCATTATCAACCTAGAACACATTTGAACGTGGAGAAATAGACGAAAATGAGCCATAAGAAAATATGCAGCAGAAGAACCAATCAAGCCAGAAAACAATTTGCACCTTATTTCCTAATCCGCTGCTACAAGGTTTTTGCCAGTCTCCTCCGTCTTTCTCCTCGTTATTGACAGAAAAGCTGTCATTCCTAGACCTCAAATATGAAACCTTAACAAAGGGAAACTGAAATAGCCCAAAAGAGAGAAAAGAATTTAAAAGACCTTCCAAAACCAAATAAGGAATTAATTTGTAAAAACAAAATAGGTTGCATTCTACAAGTTTTAAAGTATCCCCAGTAAAAAGCCCGAAGTTTTGCTTAACAGAAGGATGTAGTGACCTGATAATAACAGCCGTTGAATGAAATATACAAAATAATTAATACTTCTTTCTTTTCCTCCGTTTTCGATAGTCTTCATCATCCCTTTTGGTAGCTCCATGTCTCTTTTTTTCAATAACGCTGTTCGCTTCACTGCTTGTTGAAGGCGAGCTTGTCTCAATAAACTCTCTTTTTTCTCGGCCAGCCTTTTTAGACTGAAACACAGAATTTTCTACCCCACTGATCACTTCCAAAATAACTACAAAACATTGAATACCAATTGGACCGAACCTGTGGCTGGGGTGCACTGCTGTCTAGCGAAGAACGCGACGCCTCAGTATGACTAGACACTGCCTAAAAATTCAAAGGAATTAATAACCAATTTAACATACAATTACGTCAACGGAGAACTTTACTAAGCTTCAAAAAAGCGATAAAATGCCAGTCTAACTTCAAAGATGAACACAGAAGGAAGAACTAAATTTCCACAGGCTAAAATAAAATCTCATCTAAATTACTATGACTGAGATCTAACTGCAAATAAAACAAAAATTTTAAACAAGCCCTAAAATCTCTCAATTAGCTACACAAAAAGCAAGCAATAAAAGGGAAATACTTCAGAAATTCCCAGAAATAAAGTACCGGGGATGATGACGTCACAGACCCGTTAAACAAGCCTGAACGTCCGGAAGAACGAAGGTCAGATGTGAGCGGAGACTGTACGACTCCAAACAATTTAGAACCATGTGGTCCATGCTGCGAGCCGACAATGATATCTGCCACCATATCAAACGGACCTAACGCTCCTAAAACCCTTAGACTGTAGAAATCCCAGCTATAAAAGGAAAAACCTGAAGACTGAAACAATAGTCTTCACTGCGAGATAACACCTGTTCTTCTTACTGCTTCAACTCTTCCTCATACATGAAAAAAAAACCAATTCTATCTAAAAGTCTCCGCGTATTATCCAACAGAAGAATAAAACTTCAACCTGCATTAGTTTTAGAAAACGGCGCCTTTTTTGAGTTAATAACTCATGATACCCAAAGTAATATAAGGTCATCAGGACATTAACGTTACTGTTAACGCATTAACGATGCAAGAACAAGGTGCACCAGTTAGAAAGTAATATAGGACGAAAAATTAGTTCCGCTATACAAATAAAATACAGAAACCTTTAATCGACTAGAAATCGACAGTAAGTGTAATTTAAAGTGTAGGGTCGAGGACAAAACTTTGCTTTAACTAACACTGCATCATTACAGTTACGGAATGCGGTTAAAGAACATATGACCCTGTAAACTCCAAAAGCTGATAACGTGTTCGCCCCGAGATCCCCATTACAAACGTCAGAGGTGAACTTTAAATAAACCACACGATACAACGGTAGGACGCAGAATAATGACGCATGCAAACAGTTTTTAGAAGTACCACATTTAATACTCTCGATTATTTTAGGACAACAAAGTAGAAAGTACTCTTGATGTCAGTCTTTCAAACATACTATGGCGTAAAACTATGAAGGAACACCTTAAGAATAAACCCATCCTTCTCAAAAGCCAAAAAAAGATAGGAAGAACAAAATCAGCAAATCCGAGCCGCAGAGATGCTTAAATACTCAAATCCTTTTTCAAGATTCACTTCTGAAGCCAAAAAAAATTTGTTCTTCCGCAAAGTATGATGTCCAAATGTTTGCAAATAAACCTGCACTACAACCCATTACGTTATGCTTGAAGTTAGTAATCAGAAGCATGTTAATAGGGTAGCTAAAACCAATGCAGAGAAGAGGAATGAAACCAACAATAATAAACTTAAAAATTTCAAAGCCTCAGAAATTTTTCGCAATACCAAAAACAAAGATAAAACACGTGTATACCCAGAAAGAGTGAAAAGATAAACGCACAGCGTAAATAAAAAAATTTTTTTTTAATTTTACAAAGCAATAAACTTCGATTTTGCTTACCAACTAATGTTTCTCTTATCCTCTGAATCCTCGGTTGATGAGCTTCAATATTTTCAGCCATGCTCCTTTCTGCGTGTACTGAAAAAAAAATGAAAAGAATGGTGAAGCATACTAAGAATAAACAACACCTCCTCCCTCCTCCTCCTCCAAAAAAAAATAATAATCAGTTAACAGTCAGGGAAATGAAGCGACACAAATGAATCAATACCCACACTGAACAAAAATAACAGTAAAAACTTTTGCTATAATAATAGTACTCATAATAATATGAAGAATAAAAATAACAATGGTAATAATAATAAGAAAATAGTAAGAATGACAACAATTATCAGTATAATACCAATGACAACTGTAATAACAACAGCAGTAAAGACAACAATACAAGTGAAAGAATAAAAATACCAATAATAATTAATAATAATAACAATAATAATAATTAATGATAATAATAATATCAATAGTATC